AACAAACTACTATTGGACTTTTATGAAAAACACTGTTGAACATTATATTTATTCATGTTTTTCAAATGTATTTGATTGTAGATACTATATAGTTTTGTTTATATCTACTCTCAGTATAACATTAAATCGATCATGATTGAATGTTGTGAGAGAGAGTCTTACTTTCCAATCAACGAGTTCCTCTATATTTTGTTCGAATTAAAATGATAATATTAAATATTTTTCATGATTGTGTCAAGAAACAATTCTACTAGAGAACTTCGAAATGAAAGATCGTCTTAACTTCGCAATAGATAGTCACCTATTGTCTTTAAGAAAATATTGGCAAAAAAAAGAAATCTTCGACAGTGCTATTATACACGATTAGAAATTCATCAAAAGATTTCTTTATTAGTAGAGATTACATAATTCAATAAACGTAGTAATTGTCTAACATGACATCGGCCTATAGTTGCAGATAACCACTTAGTTCATCAAAATAAAATTGTTTTCGCAGATTACATTTAAAATTGAATTTACTCTTTAAATTATTTAATTATAAGATGACCAGTGAGTAAAATAACAATATATCATGATTTATGTCTAATTTAGCCGAGTAGATATTTCTAATGACTATTATTTAGAAGTAGCTAAGTATCATATACAGTGTCATTTTATTCTTCATGTACATAATATTTCTTCAGTTTTCTACTCATCAATCGTAGAATATGTTTATTCATTAAAGAATTCGATTAAAAATTTTCATGCATAATTTATCTTTCTCATGTTGATTACTCTGTTAATATACTGACAATGGAAGGACGTATACTGTCGAGCAGAAAAATTGACCATGTTCGGGTCAGATAAGGGTATGAATAAAGAAAGATAAGACTCATAGCCGCATACCCATCTCTGTATACTGAAGACATGGTATTATTGTACCGAAGGCTTGCAATAATATTAAAAACAGAAATGAATATCTTTTTAAATTCAATAACATGTGTCAATTTGTGAGACATGTTAGTTGCTTCCGAAAATCAGGAACTAGCAAAATGTTTTTAAATTTTAGAGTATGGGTGAAAAATGAGTCAGACTGGTAGTATGAGGGCTATTGAACACCATTATATACTATTTCGATATACTTGGGAATACAGAAAATCAGCTTGAACATCGACATTCTATTAAATATTAATATGTGAATATACATACTCAATAGTAGTCGTTATGTGAGAATTGTTGTAAAATTGGTATTGTTTTTTTTTATTTTGTTAGAGACTTTTTCTTTAAGCAAAAAGAAAATAATATGAAATTTATTTTAATTTATCTTTTTTTCATTAAGTAGTTTCTATATAAGCACATAAAACGACTATATATATTTTTTTCTTTATTATATGGCCAACAAGGACGAATCTATAGTGGAAGAGAGAAGTTCCGACCGGTGATTCTTTTTCATGATCGTATCCCTTTCAAAAATTCCTTGATTCATCCCTAATGTCTATACTTTAGTTAAGTTGTATTCTAATAGACATGTTTACTTTTCTTTGCTGAATATGACGTCGTCTATTGTCATGTCAATGAACATCGTTGAGCGATCACAACACAAAACGAAATAAATAAATGTTAGAAAGAGGATAGCAGCTGTTGATAATCATATTGAACGATCTATCAATTATTATTACAGTTTTATTCTTCGTTGGTGGAAAAGTTAGACGTAAAAAAACACAAGAAACGAACAATATATAAATGTATTTTTTTAAGAAAAGTAATAGTCATCATCCAACATGAATTAGTCTGACATTCATATTCTTGTTTTACCCATTGAAATATTGTTTATCAAATGGAAGAAACTTGATAATATTGATGTTCTTTATTCACTATTTGAAATTAATAATAAACGACTTGATATTTTAGTACAAGATGATGTATTTACTAACACTCTCAATCTTATAACGACATCATTAATCACTGATTTAATATTTGATCGATTTTGTACTTATATATTACCTCGAAGTTATCACTGTATCAAAAAGCTCATTCTCGAAACAATATCTATAGAACGTATTCTTCTTGCTGGTGATTATCCAAATTTGACTTCTTTAGAATTCTTCAATTTTTAACAAGAGGTTATTTTACAAGTAATAACTTAACATGCTCTAAACTAATCGATATAAAAAAAAAATCAGTGAACGACTTTTTTTTTCTTATTTAGATAACTTAGTCTTTCGTCATATTTTCCAACATCAGATAACAGATCATTATTCTTCATAATAATGATCAATATATTAGTAAGATGTGGTTGGATACTTATACTAGAAATGTGTATGCACATATTTTGACTCTTTTCAAAAATCTAAAACATTTTAGAATTATTTCATCATCTCTTCACAAGTATCCAAATTTGTCAATTTGTAATCTACTAGCAACTGCTTATTTCTCTTCGATTCTTACTGTATTATGTATCAATATGTTTCACTTTGAAGATTGTCTCTCTTTATTTGATGGTCGACTCAAATAACTAAGCACGTTCATCGTTCAAATTCATTATATCTTCAATCTTAAATTGATCTATCGCAATAAGATGAGTTCAGAATTATTATTTTGTTGTTGTTTTGAAGTTAATTGATAATATTGACGATTAAATGATTGATGTTAATATTCATCTTAGTATATTGTATGATTACTATAATAGAATAGTGAATAGAATATGATAGTTTTTATCATTGTCAAAGCATTAGAAATAAATAGAGCTCTCCTTATTTTCCTATTACTTGAAAACAATTCTCTAGTATTTTCTCAATAATTAACTTTTTTCATTCTTATTTAAATATTCAAGGAACAAATTGGATGACTGAATTGTGTTCTATTAGTTACACAAACTAATCAATTGTTTTTGTTTTTTTCCTTAATCTATGAAATAACTGCGAAATTTATCAACATTATCTTATCATCGTAATATGAAAAGAGAGAATTATATCACATGAAACTCGTTAGATGGAAAAATATAAAAGGATAAAAGATGGCAGTATTCAAATAAATCATATTGCTTTAGGACACATCGGTGAAAATATTTTCAAGAATAAAATTTTGTATTTAAAAAGAATGTCTGTAAAAATGATAATTGCACTCGAGATAGGAGAACTGTTTTATTGAACCATATTATGAATATTTCATGTGGGATACCTGAATTTGATCGAAAATAAAGATGTCGAAAGAGAAATGAGGGTGGAAGGAGTGAGGGCGTACGAGTGATAATGAGGATGAAGGAGATCTCTACTTTCATTTTCCATGTTTCTACCTTTCGACATATGTCTTACTGTTGTTTTCGACGTTATTCAGATGAATATTTTTATGCAGATTCAGAAATCTAATAATGAAGGTCTCGTATAATCTTCTGAAAATCTTAATTTGATCGTTGTTATTTTGAGAATTAGCTTATAAAAACTATCTACTATTTTCAATGTTTGGAAAGTTTAGAAATGTCTACTATAGATTTTAGATATCATTATTACAAATTGTATATCAGATGAAATACAAGAAATATTGAACAAACTTGAAAATAAGTGAAGTTTTTTCGATCAGTTTTTCATGTTAACTGAACTGATAAATATACGTATGTTCCAAAGATATTTTTCTATTTCATAGAGTGATCTACATAATTTGAAGTGTTTCTCATTAACAAGTTATAATGTTACTTTGAATTATGACGAATTATTTGTACCACTTCTTCGTCGTATGACGCATAGGGAAAAGTTAACTCTGTATCTTCGTATTGATCGAAGTGTATTCGTCGATGGCACATATATTCAAAATGAAATTCTTGTGCATATGCCTCAACTTCATTCATTCATCTTTTATATTAGTACAGAAAGTATTATTTTTGCTTCACTTCCTCGTAAATCTGGTGATGATATTCAGCGAACATTTACAAATATAAAATATAAACAAACGGCTTGCATCATAGATTATTTCAACGGCGGCTATAAGGCCATATGTCATGTTTACTCGCTTCCATTCAGATTTACTCGTCTGGAAAAGATCACGACTCATTTGCTAATTATTGTATTTGACACTGTAACTCACTTGTCGGCCTACGATATGATTTCAATGAAATATGAATTCTTCATGAGAATAAGTCGAATTTTTCCCGTACTTAAGTATTTATCTCTGGAGAATGAAAGAAGCTAGACATGGGAAGGTGATCAATGGAAATCTGATCAGAATTTATCTTACTCAGTTATTGAATATTCTCATCTTATATTACTTGATATTATGCGTGTGGACATAGATTATGTTTGGCAATTCCTACTCGAAACAAAGATATATCTACCTAATCTAACTGAATTGAAAGTCAATTATTACCAATTGAAAACGGTAACAATGAACTTTACAAGAGATGCGACACAACACAATTGTTCTAAAGTGAAACTATTAATTGTCGAAGTGTCAAGAGTCTTTTCAAAAGATGTTTATCAATATTTTTCTTCATTGTAAGGGTGAGAGTGGATGCTGGAGATAAGACTTACCATATGCACACTTGTACACACACCACAGTGAGTCTCTCACTTACACCGACACTCAAAATCAAGTTCACAATTCAATCATAGTAATATGTAAGAAACTTTTTTTTGTTATTTGATTTATTGAGGAATAATTTAATCATATTGTGAAAATATTACAGACGTTAATAAAATATTCTGATATATAAATTCATAAGATATAAAATTGTTCGAAGTATTAAAATGATGATAAAGCATGAAATCAATTGATAGATATAACGATCATATTTGATGTGTACATGCTTTGGTATTACCTCGGACAGAAGAATGTTTTGGTAGAACATTTATTTTTCGATTGAATTTGGACATAGTTTGATTGCGTTGATCTATTCGAAAAATAAAGACGCTTTTTTATTTTATTTCATTAGAATAAATAAGTAAAAGATCGTTTCTTTTTGTTATGATAATAAATATTTTTACAAATTATTTTCTTATGTATTCAATTATTTTGAAACAATATTTCACTTAATAATAGAAAAATTTTAATTGAAATAATTTATTGTGAATTGAATTATAGTTACTTAAGAGATTTTGTTTTAATTTGTATGGTTGAGGAGGATAATATGAATAAGTTTTAGGTTGATTTTGTACTTCAATAGTCTCTGAAGATTTAACTTCATCTTCTTTATCATCTTTTGTATTTTTAACATTAACAGATGATTTAGTTTTTTCAACAATTCGAGGTATTTCAACTTGTTTAATGTGTACTATTGATGAGCATGAAATCGGTTTTTCGATGTATTCTGGTACATCCCAATAATTTTTTGTTTGTTGCTTGTTATTTATTTGTGATCGATGATCTGATGAAGTAACATCGAAAAAAGATGATTGTACTGACTCTTCATTGGTAGACAGAAAAGTAAAAGTTTCAAAACGATTCTTTACTGCCATTATCTACGACATTTGAATCGTCAGTTTTGTTTTTCTATTGGACATTTTTTTTCATTTTTATATCTGACACGTGTGCGTGGGTAACATTTTCGAGTGCAATATGAAATTACATGCATAAAACACAAAACATATTGACATTATGATTGCGTTATTGAGTTTTTTTAAATCAATAACAAAAATTATTGTGAAATCTAAAGCGAAATTATTTCAAAAAAAAAAGAAAAAAAGAAATCTATGTCTAATAAATAAAGAAAAGTATAATAATTACATTGAAATCGTAGCAAACGAAAAAATGAGACATCAGGATGACACAAGAAAAGATAAAAAAAAAAAAACTATCGTTTTTTATCTGATGTAGATGTCATCTGTGATGATATTGCATACGATTCAAAATGCGTTTAATAACAACTGTTGATTCTTTGTATTTTCCTCGACCATCGATCATCGATTTATTTTCTCATATATTTCTCAATTTATTTGTCACTGGATTATGGGTTTATATTTATCGACATCGATCTTTTACATTTCTTGCTTTAGCAATGTTTTTTCCAAGTATATTTGCAATAACTATTCATATTTATCATGGTTCATTCATCAGTTTTATTACATTTCTATTAATTAATCCACAATGGTCGACTGTCTATTGGTCGATAATCGGTTGTCTAATTTCAATTTTTACAATCATTATTTGTTGTTTGTTAAATTATGTTTTTGGTTGGGCTAAATTTTGTTCAAAAAAAGAAAAATTTCTATCAGTACATGAACATAATAGTAAATTAATATATGGTTGGATACGAGCTATGGGAGAAGAAATTGGATGGCGATCTTATCTCTTACCTGGTTTATTGATTCATTTTCATCCAATAATAGCATTAAATATAACTGGAATTGTATGGGGTTTATATCATCTACCTATTATGATTCTCTTATGTTTTCAACCACAATCGAAAGTTAAATATCCAATTCGTACCATAATTGTTCAATGTATGAGTTGTTGGATTTCAGCATTTTTCTATGGATGGATTGCAATTCAATGTAAATATTCAATGATACCACCTACAATGATTCATTTTATTTGGAATCAAATTAATCCTCGACTATTAGGATCAATTTATACAAATACATCAGGATGGATGATTGGTCAACAATGGAAAATAAATGGAGAAGGTTTAATTGGATGTTTTGTTTATTTTATTCTAGCAATAATCATTCTAATACAACTTTATTGAAACATTATAGATTGTCTTTCATTAGTTGAAATTCGACAAAAAAAATTCTATCAAATTAATTTTTTTTTTTTTTTGTACTTTCGTATTATATATTTATTTAAACATAGAAGAAATTAATAATAAATAAAAATGATAATCGTTAGACAATGAAAGTAATCAATTTAAGAAATTCTACTTGGATTAATAATGACTATTTCTGATCTTTCTCCTATAGTCAACATTATTTTAACACACTAGATTATATCAGAATTTTTCTAAAACTTCATTACTTCTTTTTTATCTGAGAATGTCAATATTAGCCTTGAAATCGGCAAAATTTTTACTGTATTCAATCGGTCGAAATTCTTGATTTAACTAACAAAGAATGGTTAATTCAATTACCGCACTCAACTGATGAAAAATCGATTCGTTTAACATAGCAATACAACAACTAGTTCTTTCGCGAAAAAGTTTTTTACTAAAACTCCATGAAACATATAATGAAATGTTTATAAAACTCTTGAAGTTTTTATCTTAGTCTCCCATTTTCCATATACACTAATAATATGAATGACGGAAGTGTTCTTTCAAATCTTTTCGTCAAATAATTCACAAAAACTGATATTGAATAATATTTTACTTGAGTTATTCTCCATAAAGATATGGTGTCGTTACAAATAATTGATAAATTTAATATACTCTTCTTTCAAGTCATTATTTATCATGAGCAAAACCCTTCTCAATGCCTATGAGACTACTAGTGTAACTCTTTTGAAAAAATCTTCTAATATGCGAAACAATGTACATAAATATTCAAAGTTACATTTGGGAAAAAAAGGCAATATCAATTTCTTTTTCCATATAGATAAACTATACATCATTTTTTATATATAAAATATCTTAAGCGTCCATCTATTTTTCGTTTCCATCATTTAGATTGTTGTGTTAGATGCAAAACATGTTTTTCTCAATTAAACAAAAGGTAATAACTCAAGTTTGATTATGATTCAACAAGTCAAATTTTGATGAAAAAATGGAAACTTTTTAATCTGACGTAAATGAATAAAAGCATCTAGGACAAATACATCTAGTTAGAATTTTTTTTGATCTTTTTCAATAAGACAAGAGAAACACTATCAATCTACTTGTCATTAACTTTTTTGACATTTACCTAAGTGATAACAGAAAAGTTTTCAACTTCGATTAGGATATTTTCCAATATTAACATGCTCGACGATGGATTAAGTTATAGAGAGAACCAATCTATTGAATTAGCTGATTTATTGCTAACTATAGAAATATTAAGAAAAAAAAATTTTCTTTAATCAAAGCGACATTGAAAAACACTGTATCATAACACTATTATCATTAACTTTAATATAAGAATTAAAACATATTGTAGGTTCCGATAAGAAACTTGATTGATCTAATCTCTTTGGTTATTGCCTACATTCTATTGTCGTATGTTATGAACCTTTATTTTTTTTTTAAATTATTGCATTAAATTTAGAATTATGTCAAGTCCGATGGTTTTAGAATTCATAAATTCTATTCATTGTTTCTAACATAACAATGGTTGAGTTTTTAGTTAGGCGATATGGCGACTTGAACTTGAAAAATCCATTGGTATTAGTTAGCAAAAACATGATCGACATCGTTTGTTGATGACATTTACAAAAATGAATTCGACATCAATATTATCCCAGTAAACAAAGTTGTTTATTTCTTTAAATCACTTAATGTTGTCAGTAGTAAACTCAACAAATGCATAGGAAGAAAAATTTTTTTTTTAGTTGAAAATATATTAATGCATTTTTGTTATGAATGAATCAAGATTGGAATAGAACATTGAGAATGAAACAAAATAATCTTTTATATTGATGAATTAAGAACCGATTGACATATTTGTTCAATTTGTTATGTCTTAAAAGAAAGAAAAAAATACACTCGACATATTTGATGATGATTTTCTTCATCAGTATCCTTAAACATATAAGTTGTTCATGTACTTATTATCTTGATTAAGTTCGATATAAAAAATTAAATAAGTACAATATTCCATTGAGTTTTTATGTTTTGTCGTTGACATTTTTCGATAAGTAACCACTTATTCATTTTTGTTTGCAAAGCCGAATAGATGCAACCATAGTAACGTCCACGTTAATGTGTACATGTTTACCAATTACTATCAACGATGGAATTTTTTTTTCGTTCTTTAAATTGAATAATTGTGTTAAGTACTTTCAAAAATTTCTCTATACAGTGACATAAAAACTGACAGAATCAAAATAAAAGCGAAATTGAAGAAAAAAATATCAATTATTATTCTTTGGTGCATTTATCACGGTTCGAAAACAAAGCTATTCATTTATTCTTTTATGCTGACAATAATAAAATAAATCCTTGTGGTAAGTAACATTGTTTGTATCTTGTGCAAGTTCAATGATTTCTTTGAGAAAAATTTTAAATTGAATGTCAACTCGTTCTCATTAAATTTTACTTTCAATTTCGGGCACAGAAATTTTTCAACAACAAATAAAAATTCATGAACATGTTAAAAATGATATTTTCTAACCACTTTTCATTATACTATTGCTTCTAGTATGACTATTAGATAGGAAAAAAAATTTTTTTTTTTTTCTATCCATACAAAGCCGATGTTTCTAGTATTTGAATATTCTTACTAAAGTTTCAACTGAAAAGAGACTTTATATTGAGCTTGACTTTTTCTCATTAAACTCTACATATTGAACTAAGTCGTCTTGAAAATTCTAGACTTATTCATAAATTTGTAGATTCTTCTTAAAAAAAGTCTTAGAAAATTTCTCGAAAAGTTTTATTCGTTGGAAAATTCAAGAGAATAGTGTCTTTTTCTTCTTTACTTGATAAAATTCGATTATTAAATAGAATATCATTGATAAACATTTGTTCATCAAGCAAGAATCAAAGAATTAAAACAATGCACTGTAATATGAAAATTGCTTGTCTTTGTTTAATCTTTTCGTCTTTTAAACAAGCTTATGATTATTCTCTATGAATGAAAAGACATTTATCTAGTTATTGAAATAAATAATGAGTCAACAGCGTACAATTCGTGGTCGTTCCAACTTGACATCAACGATGAAGAACAGTAATGATGATCGAATGACATCCGTATCTACTTCATCTCTTCCATTGAATAAAGAAATAGTCGCTTCTAGCAGGCAATCCAACCATTCAGACATACAAATAAATTGTGAATCTATTATATTCATTTGGTTAGACTTAAAATCAATATCGACTTCGACATTTATTGGTTCACTTCGAGCAATTAATGATAGCGTTCGAACTTATACTGATCTATCAACCTGCTTGAATGCATTACAAGTTGCAAAAGAGAAAATATTTTTCATATCGTCGTCAAGTAACGAAGAATTGATTGAAACAATCAATGATATTGATTGTATTGAGGCGATATTTATACTTGATTATGATCGAAATCCTATAAAAGGCATTTATCATAAGCTTCTAGGCATCTTTACTCAACAGGAAGAACTTATTCGAATGCTCAAAGAAATACTCGATAGATTTATACAGATTCAACTTGAAACGTTTTTATTTGAACAAGATAAAATTTTTCTCTGGTTACAATTATGGAAAGAGGAGGTATCTATTGGAATTTTGACTAATATAAATTATCTTTGACATTCGATTGTTTGCATAGTTCATAAGCCGAAAAATTCCAACGAATAACAAAAATGATTTCGCTAAAATGGCTCGAGACTATTATCGAACTAATCCACGAAGGATCAG